TATCTACCTTGTGGGTGGGTATGTACTTCTTGTATATACCTGTCTGGTGTGTATGTACTTCCTGTATCTAGCTTGTTGGTGGGTTTGTTCTTCCTGTATCTAGCTTGTGGGTGGGTATGTACTTCCGGTATCTAGCTTGTGGGTGTGTATGTACTTCTTGTATATACCTGTCTGGTGTGTATGTACTTTCTGTATCTACCTTGTGGGTGTGTATGTACTTTTTGTATATACCTCTCCGGTGTGTATGTACTTCCTGTATCTACCTTGTGGGTGTGTATGTACTTCTTGTTTATACCTCTCTGATGTGTATGTACTTCCTGTATCTACCTTGTGGGTGGGTGTGTACTTCTTCTATATACCTCTCTGGTGTGTATGCACTTCCTGTATCTACCTTGTGGGTGGGTATGTACTTCTTGTATCTACCTCTCCGGTGGGTATGTACTTCTTGTTTATACCTCTCTGGTGTGTATGCACTTCCTGTATCTACCTCTCCGGTGTGTATGCACTTCCTGTATCTTTCTCTCTGGTGTGTCTGTACTTCCTGTATCTACCTTTGGGTGTGTATGTACTTCCTGTATCTACCTTTTGGGTGTGTATGTACGTCCTGTATGTAAGTTCTTGTTGTGCATGTACTACCTTGTATCTACCTTTTGGTGTTCATTTACTTCCTGTATTTATCTTTTGGGTGTGTATGTACTTTCATGTATCTACATTTTGGGTGTGTATGTACTTCCTGTATCTACCTGATGGTGTTTATTTACTTTCTGTATCTATGTTTTGAGTGTGTATGTACTTCCGGTATCTACCTTTCGGTGTTCATTTACTTCCTGTATCTACATTTTGGTGTGTATTTACTTCCTGTTAAATCTTTTGGGTGTGTATTTACTTTCATGTTTCTACATTTTGGGTGTGTATGTACTTTCTGTATCTACCTTTTGGTGTTCATTTACTTCCTGTATCTATCTTTTGGGTGTGTATGTTATTCCTGTTTCTACCTTGTGGGTGGGTATGTACTTCTTCTATATACCTCTCTGGTGTGTAAGCACTTCCTGTATCTACCTTGTGGCTGGGTATGTACTTCTTGTATCTACCTCTCCGGTGTGTATGTACTTCTTGTATATAACTCTCTGGTGTGTATGCACTTCCTGTATCTACCTTGTGGCTGGGTATGTACTTCTATCTACCTCTCCGGTGGGTATGTACTTCTTGTATATACCTCTCTGGTGTGTATGCACTTCCTGTATCTACCTCTCCGGTGTGTATGCACTTCCTGTATCTTTCTCTCTGGTGTGCATGTACTTCCTGTATCTACCTTTTGGGTGTGTACGTACTTCCTGTATCTACCTTTTGGGTGTGTATGTACGTCCGGTATCTAAATTCTTGGTGTGCATGTACTACCATGTGTCTACCTTTTGGTGTTCATTTACTTCCTGTATTTACCTGATGGTGTTCATCTACTTCCTGGATCTATCTTTTGGGTGTGTATGTACTTCCGGTATCTACCGTTTGGTGTTCATTTACTTCCTGTATCTATATTTTGGTGTGTTTTTACTTCCTGTTAAATCTTTTGGGTGTGTATGTACTTTCAAGTATCTACATTTTGGGTGTGCATGTACTTCCTGTATCTACCTTTTGGTGTTCATTTACTTCCTGCATCTACCGTTTGGGTGTGTATTTACTTCTTGTATCTACCTTTTGGGTGTGTATGTACTTTCATGTATCTACCTTTTGGGTGTGCATGTACTTCCTGTATCTACCTTTTGGGTGTGTGTGTACTTCCTGTATCTAAGTTTTTGGTGTGCATGTACTTTCATGTATCTATATGTTGGGTGTGCATGCTTTTCCTGTATCTACCTTTTGGGTGTGTATGTACTTCCTGTGTCTACCTCTGTGTTGTGTATATACGTACTGTATCTAAGTAGACACTTTAATAAACACCTGAGTGGATGCAGAATTTGTTTCATTAACGATTGTGGTTTCTAAGGAATTTCTATGAAGTACAGAGTTGAGGATCCCGTAATTTAGAAGTATGGATTTGATTTTATGATCCAAAAAATTGTACATATAAAGAAATAATCATCAGTGCCCTCGCATATGGAACCGCAATAACAAGAAGGGCTCCAGAGATGTGTCTATCACACTCATGAATGATCAATTCTCTACATTCATGTCTAAGTGATTTATTTGACACATTCTCGATCCTTACTCCAGGACAAAATACGTTTCATAATCATCGATGGAAATAACTCGTTCAAACGATCCTATGGCACCTGCTTTTATTAAATCTGAGGATAAACTGTTCCATGAATTATTTATTTCACAGTCACATTGATATACATTTAGGAAATGGTAATTAAATGATTCATTTTCAATACCATGTTAATCACAAAATACACAAATTAGTGTATGCAATAAGCCAAAAAGCCAGCCAGACATCTGTGCTGGTAACTTCAAAAAGTTACCAGCCCGAAGTGGATTTAACCAGACCAGACAATTTTGTCTCAAATTTTAGTTTATAATGAATAATGTAATGTATTTGAGACACATATTTACTCCACGCATCGTTAGGTGTCGCTGTTTTAATGCTAATATACTGGCCACATAAAGAAACTATAAAGATAGACAGACAGTGTCTTTATACATAAATAAAGGTGTGAACATAGCAAGTATTGGAGACAATCAAACGCTCATGCAGGTGCCAGGCGACGTGACGTCATTGATGGTGGCCTATGGACTTGCAATGTGTTACTGCACGTGCAACATTTTTACTCTACAATATAACTGACGTTTGTTTAATTTTGCTAACTTTTATATTTACTTTGTGTCGAACAAAACAAAATGTCACATTGATTAGAATATATATTTCAATATATCTCGAGCCAATGATGTGCCGATTCTTGCATGGTCAATATCTTCACAATTTAAACAATGCTCTTCAAGACTGACCTGGCACTGTGAAAATGTAAGCGGCAAGTCAGTTTAATCCTAGAATAATTTCACAACCAGATTAACATTGACAAATTGTTACAATTTCAAATTTTCAAAGAGATTGGATAAAGGGGTTAAACTGTCGGGTAAGAGAAAGTATACACATGTAAATGGTATTTGACTAAAATATTACAAACGTTAGCAGAACGTTATTTGGCTTAAAACAGCAGTCGTAATGCTTATAAGGGATGTTTGTCACAGTATGGGCATTTCTGACAACCACAAAGAAGACATGATAGTACAAAACAGGCAGATGAAGTGATATTATCTAACAAAGCATATTCGGCTTAATCAATAATGATGGGTGCTCTCGGGTATATGTTGGCTCGAGGCTGCTTTCAAAGAAGTGCATTCATATGATGCCGGAATATATCACAACCAAAGGTCCTGAAAGAGATGAAGTTCTTGAACCCGTAAGCGTGCTGTTACTATTCAACAACAACAGGAACCAGCACTACATCATTAAGCTGCATATTGCAATACTGGATCTCAAGGATTTGTTTCATGGCTTCGTGATCACCGGATTCAATCCCCACTGAAAACGTTTAAGGTTAGCTTATAGGGAGACGTTCTCGATGAAATCATTCCAGGCATCAGCTGCGCCGGGTGACGAACGGCTATCGAATCTCGTCATCTCGAATAACGTCATAACGACATTTGGGAGTAAAGGCGTCCGTCGATGCTAGTGGTGCGTATATTCGCTACTGAGGATGTCAGATGTGCGCCATATCGACCTATAACAATGCCTAAAAAAAAATAATTCATCATTATGTGCTTGGAAATTGGGGATTTCTTCTAGGATATCATCTGTCATCGTTATGAGATACCAGTTGACGAAACTGCACAAAGAACCATCTACATGTATTGTACCTGTACCTGTATTGCTGAACAATGTTTGTTGTTTTAGCCACCAACAGGCATACTGCGATACTTTCTTTTTCCAGACATTTTATATACAAAATCCCTCGCAGAGGTACGTTCATTATTTGCTTGACTTAGATTCCAAATTAAACGTTTCTGGACTGGAGAACGTTGCTGCAGGAATGATAGCGTCCTTAGGTCCATGATCCACAGTCCACACCTTGTTGCTGGCGTCCGGCTGTCTTTGAATAGCGTATTTTCTCCAAACAATTCCGCATATTGCGCCTACTATGATAAGTAGCAGGCAAACACCACCTACAGAAGCTCCACTAATAACCCCCAGTCCCCCGGTGCTTGTGGTGTCTGGCAGTTCTGGAAATAGGTATTTACACGTACAAGGCAAACATTCATCATATTTAGAGTTTCCACACTAATGGGTTAATAGTTACAAAGTTACAGGCGGATATTTTCTCCAGTTGAAAACAGTCATATCAAATTCTTAAATGCCAGCTGTTTTATATTTATAAATATGGTTACCTTAGTGTACAAGTACCTGTATACTTACCAGGATTATACCTGTACTTAGCATATAAGATTCTGAAACCTCTGTCGACTGTATGGGAATTCGACTTGAATTTCAGGAACATCACGGAGCTTGATGCCATTATGCGTGGTTCACTTCTGCCACACCAGCGTCCTAGAGAGGGAGCACTGGAGTCTGTGCCTACAGGATTCAAAGTACAATCACCCAATAACGTTTAAGTCAATTGCACTGTTCTAGCGGATTGGAATGACCCTGAGATGTATTTATCCTTCACACCAGACACAGCCACAGGCTATCAACCTGTTCAAGACTATAAGGACAATGACACAAGTTGTTGAAAACGTGTTTTAGATAATCATTAAAAACGGTTTGGCCATTCCAGAGAAATGAAACACTGTACACCCAGAAACAAACCACCTTACTTTAGCCTTTGATGTGGATAAAGTGGACAAGTTTCGCCTGTCTGAACCCGGTTATCCATATCATGAAGAAGTTTCCACAACTGTTTTAGAAACAAAGGTTGCAACTGCAAATGATTCCTGCTTTCCACACACCCTCACAAGCGAGTAATAACATCATCACTGCACATATAATATTTCGGGATTCATTATAGTAAATGGGTTCTCAAATAGGTGTAAATATTAATCATACCATCAAACGCTTCCATGTAGTCACTTTGACAACCTGCAGATGTCTCCAGACTTGAGAAGACAACTCCGATACCGACGTGATAACCTTCATCTCCCTCAATCGTCCATGTTGACTCGACATTACTTGAATGAAGTAAGGCAAGTTAGGTCAACGCATTCCTCACCAAATTAAACTTGTTCAGAAACGGACTTTTCATCGATATAAGACTTCACAAAAGTAGACATTCTGAATGTCATTTTATGAATTCGATGGCAGCAAACAATGAGTAATAATATTGACGATAAATATTATTCGTTTTCTTGTTTCACTGATGAAGCTACACATGTAAATGTGCACTGCAAGAAGGAATCATGTAATTAATATGTTATTGCTTGCCATTGCGATTGGTATAGAACATAGGAGATTTACAATAATTGTATTCTTCTTCCTTCGTCCATGTTTTGAGCTCATTTAGTGGCGTACTATACTGGGACACATACCTCGGGTAATTGAATGGATTATTTGGGGAAGTAAAGTATTCATAATATCTGCTGGCAGAAAGTCTCGTCTTCCGTGAAGCTGAAACATAAACATACACTAATTTTGCATGTTATCAGTATCCATCTGCAAGTCTAATTATACCGTAGGAAAGAAATGGGGGAAGGCATGTGAGTAGAAGTGATCCTTGTTTCCAGCTTTTCATTCAATGTTTGTATTGCACTGCAGGTTAAAGAAAATCTGAGAATTTCGATGAAGTGATGTTCCCTTATTTGTTTCCATCAGTATATTTCCGTTTCCACATGGTTGCACAGAAAGTCATTGATATTTTGGCGTCCGAGCATATACTATGTTACTTGCATTCAATTTAACAGACTCATATCTTTTCATAGCAGCCACCTGTAACTGTGCCGCTTCGAATGTTTCTCATGGTCATACGCTACCATCGACACAATGTAAATGGGGGAAACCAACTGGTTTAATACTTAGCAATTCACAATACAGAGATGCGCCCTTTAACTGTCAGGATTTTCCCCTCTGAATTCAAATCACAAATTGCCCTGATTATGATCATATTAAGCTCCTGAAATTCTGAAGTTGTAATCGTTTCTGTTTTGGCCATCCATCAGAATCTGACTTGAAATACTGTTCAAAATAGTGCTAAACCTAATTCATTCACTAACTCATGGCATTGAAATTTGACGTACCACTAAAGTGACCCGCCTTAAGAATCATTCTAAACATTCCTCTGTTAGATACGTTGAAGTGGAGCCTGGCGGTGATGACATTTCCGGAGCTGATGAAGTCGGCGTTGGTGTCACCACACCACTTTCCGTGGGTTGTTGAAGTACTGTTGTCGTAATTACCTAAATACAGGTAAACAGAGGTAAGAATGCAAACTCCAACAGTTACAGGTGATATATGTCCCATTAGTCGCTTTTCCAAAGTTCTCAGAGGCAGTATGACTATGACTGATGACGAGTTAGCATTGACATTTAACGACTGTTCACGTCTGTCGTGTAAACGTCGAGTTGATGTGTAATTTGGGCTGATGTACAAGTTAGATTCGTTTTGTCCATTATCATGTGGAAACTGACGTGTGTATTATGGTACCTGTCTTCAGTGTATGGAATATATCTTATCAACGGCATATTCCTGTCTCGATAGTTACTAACTTAAACAACGTTAACGTACATAACGTACATATTCAGTCAGCTATGAGAACTAAAACATTAGTACCAGTCTCCATATTTGTTTTCCTGAGTAACATCCTACTGGGTGCCTCCTTGTCAATTATACAATGGCGGGCTGTAGATGAATAGGATAGGTTTGCTGGGGACGAACTGTAATCTCTAGACGTCAAAATCCGCTTAAAGGAAATAGGTATACATGAAATATGTATCTTACCATCGTATATTTCCAGGTAATTGACGTTGCATGATGAAGGGAAATGATTTATAGCATCCACATTAACCTTGATGGTCGTATTTGTCGGGGCATGTATAGTCCAAAGGCATTCTCCGGAAATGTATCTATAAAACATTCACCAGTATCTTGTTAACACGCATAACTATACAGTGACATAAGAATATGTTACAATGCTAAACTCACAATATGATATTGCATTTTTTTCAGATTTATTTTTCTCAAATGCGAAACTTTCTTCTATAAAACGTCATATGTCCGCTGCGGAACTGACTCTGATTAGTTTTACATTAATCAGTGAGTATCGAAACAACTTCCATTTCGTTGCCTGCCCCCAAAGGCTGTCTCGGTAACTGCATATAAAAACAACACCAGCAGCATGCTCACGCCAATAGCTGTTAAGGGATCAGGAATATATACATTACTAAACCGTGACTAATTGCTGTATTTTTCAGAATGCAATGAAAGGTCACATCTTTGTGGCGAAACTGATTCTTGTTTTGTTTTGGTTTTGCGTTCTAATCAATTGTATCTGATCAATTTCCGTTTGGTTGGCTGTCATGTTTTTCTAGTAACAGTTGGGCTACGATATCATGGAAGCTATGAACTGTAAAATACATCGTCACGTCATAGAAACCAAGGAATACATGGATATTAAAATTTTGGATCGATTATATCTCATATAGCAGCTAACACGTGAACTGACTTATTAGTCCATCACTTCTTTTCAATTTCTGTACAGGGCGTTCTTATGTGACAGATGTCATTAGTTTCAATGTGTCAAGTGAACCCGACGAGTCAATATATTCCAATAGGTTAAAACTGTATTGAGTAAGTGAGTTTAGTTTAACGCCGCAGTCAACAATATTCCAGCTATGCGGCGGTCTGTAAATAATCGAGTCTGGACCAGACAATCCAGAATCGGGAACCGATGACATGTGTCAATCCAGTCAGCGAGCCTGACCATCCGATCCCGTTAGTCGCCCCTTACGACAAGCATGGTTTACTGAAGATCAATTCTCAATCACATTTGAGTTTATCATTATTAAAGGTATAAGAACAAACTAATAATATATTTCTATACGTTTCATAAGACGCTGTCAGAGTTCTTTCCCTATCCGTCGTGAGATCAACTGCACCTCCACAGCTCCACGGCTCTGAAAGGAATTAACAATACAACTTCCATGTCATATTTTTGAGCGAATATTTAAGTGTAAACCAGTGTTATGACTCATATTATATGTTTAATTATTTCATTGTCTTCCATTTACATGTTTTTTTATTCTCAGAAATATAAAACACTTACTATTCGTCGCAAAATATTTCAGTTTGATGCCTGTCATATTATATGCATCGCGCGCTTTGAATCTAACTGTCATGTCCGGTCCAGTACTCTGCAGACTCGGCAATGTCTTGCCGCACCAAGAGAGGAGAAACGTATCAAACATCGAAGGTCCTGCAAAACATTCAGATAGGTGGACAATGAAATGACTTTTCACTATAAAAACAGCGAGCGAGTGAGCGATTATGCTTTTACGCTGCTTTCAGCAATATTCCAACAATATCACAGCGGAGAACATCAGAAATGGGCTTCACACATTGCACTCATGTGGGGAATCGAACCCGGGTCTTCGGCGTGACTTGCAAACGCTTTAACGCTTTTGGTAGAAACAGGTGTTTAAAGTACTGTCGGAAATGGAAAACAATGGTTTTAGGCTGTTACTCTGTGTCCCTAAAAGTTACACAATTGCAAATAGCATATATGAAATAGCCAACATCGGCCTAACTGGGCGTTCAGTGAGATGCGTAATAGGATATCCAGAAAAGCATGTTTACTCGTAAAATCGGGCAAAACTTAGAAAAAATACGAACAGCTGCTCAAAACAATAGATCAGACTATAGATGGCAATTAGGTCGCTCAGCCAGGTATGATGACGGACCGTCAACTCACTTGGCATGAAATGCACGTGCTGCCCACAGACACAAGGGGTCATCTCAAATATCTTTGGTGCTTTTTCATGTGTATTGAATATGTCTCTACTGATTATCTAATCTTAGCTAATATCTTTATCCCCCAAGCCCGACCCAAACTACCGTCATAAACACCCGTCTTGATTTTGCTTTTGAGACGACCCCTCCTTCCTGTTTCTTTTTATAGTGATAGTGAGACTCAGTGGTATCTATATCCTTAATATTTTCAATATTAAAGTTGTTTTTTGTTACGTCTGCTATCGTTTATTATGAAGCTAAGTCTAATTTCAACATGGACATTCAAAAAGTAACATTTGTTATACAATATCATCGCACACTAATTTGCATAAAGCCATGGTCTGCTCCAAATAAGTCTCTTCGGACTTATATAAAAACTGCATTGCTCATTTCTGCACTCATATCTCCTCAGTAAAATCCTTTTTTAACGTTTCCTATCTCCCTACCACTGAGACTGTAGTTAGGCCGAACTTACTTCAACAGATATTTCACACTTTCACATATGTCCTGCTATATTTAGATTTGTGTTTTCCTCATATAAATCTCAGGGTTTGAGTAAGTGTTAGAAATCATTTGAGTTAAGTAATTGATATGGGGAAGTAAGAAAACCCCAAATTGTTCACATTGTTCTAAAAAGTCCGTGTGTATTAAACTAATGATGACAACATGTACCTACCATCGTAGAGAAGGCCAAGACTTTGACCGCACTGTCTAATGAAAATAGGATGAGTTGGAATATCTGAGTCAATTACGTCAATCCGAACCGTCATGTTTGGGTCTGAGGCCTTTAGTATCCAAATACAATCGGCGTTGCTACAATAAAAAGAGAGTAAACGAACCACTGTATTGCAGGTTAATATATAACGGCAGCACAAAGTACCTAGTAAGATTTCAGATGTATGCTCAGGTTTATTTTGGTAAGACTGAACAGTACGTTTGTGGTGATGAGAAAGCAAGAATCTTTATCAGGAAACAGATTCTTAGCATTCTGGTACGCATGAACAACTCACAACAAACTGTGGAGTCTCAGCCTTTAATGCTTCCTGGGAAATGAAAATGTCCGTCTACCTACCTCAAACTAAACATATATATGGTCTGTGCTCTATCGAGACATGTCATGCTGCATTTTGGAAAGCATTACATGCAGTTTCAAAGATTGTGCAAAATGGTGATCAACGAAAAAGACACTTATCAAAGGATATGTGCAGAAAATGCTTGTGTTGTACGCAAAAATATAATAGCCACGGTTAATTTTTTAATAGTTTTGATTTGTAAAAGCATAATGCAGTTTGTAGAATAATTTGTGTATTAATTACTTTGTAAAATGAAAAGGTAACGAAATCTGAACTTACATGGGAGAAAACACAGGATATCCTGGGGAACTGAGGAATTTTGGATGTGTGGTTGCAGTCTGAAATCTGGGCCCACAATTCTCTGATTGGTCAGGTACCACTGAAACATTAATACAAGTCCAAACATGTGACTTGAATATCTCGTTGTAACTATAGAATGCTATGAATTTAACGGAGTCCTTAAATTGAATAGTGTACATGAACATTTCAAACTTATTATTACTGTTCTTTCAACGCTAACAAGAAAAAAGCACTCAGACAGAGACTGATGTATATGAAAGAAAATACACCCCTGGTGTTACGGAATATGAAAAGAAAGAAGGTAATTGTTAAGTGTTTTGATTGTGACATCCAAACATTTTGTACATGTTGCCCAAAAAACACATGTAGCCTTTATAGTGCCGTGAGTGGACTATCATAACAATGCTACGCTTATCAGCAGCGGAGCAATAGGTGTCCTCCCAAAACTTAGACGTCCCAAAAAGTTAGACGCGTTAAAACAACAAAGGTTATGGTTGGTTGCACTGAGGTTCACTACACTGTTACCTTCGTTAATTAATGGACTAGTCCAAATGTACTAACCCAAACACAAAGAGAAGAGATTATGGATAATGACAATGACTTTATTTGACATAAAACCAAATAAGTCATTTTAACAGGATAATTATAAATGATCTATGGATGACTTTGTAATGACTTTATTTGGCCTTAAATAAAGTAAGTTAATTTAATAAGATAATTTAAATGGTCAATCAAATCATTCAAGATTTAACATTTCACATCTTTCACTATACAGGCAAGAATATCAACCAAGTCTGAGCAAATGCCCAACTGAATCGAGGAACTCCATGTTTGTCACCCCTCCTGCACGCAGTCTCTCTTGCAGACGCATCAGCCTGTTCTCAGTTTCCCTGTAGACCCTCTTCGTCTGCCACATCGCCAGTGAACAAACTCTCCCCTGACTCCCCTGTTCTTGGTGTATGTGTGGCCTTGAAGGAATACCTGAGGAGTACCCTTATGTGACTTCACGTATTCTACTCTCTGAAGACCATCGTTTGTTCTCAACCCTTAGTTAGTTATTTGCTTTATTTAGCGTCGCACGCACAACTAAGGTAAAAAACAAAAATAATATGAAATAGGTAAAGAGTAATAGAGATTTGGAATTTAATATATATGTAGTGTAATAAATGGTTATTGTTATTGTTTGAGGACAGAAACCTGTTTAATTTGATTGTATTTTGTTAATATGTTGCTCTACAACCAACCCATGTTTAAAAACATGTTTATTAAGTGAATAATGATGAACATATAAAAGGTTAAAAAATGAAGTTGATAAAAAGAGAGAACTCATTTGAAAAGTTAAAAGAACATATATACATATTCAGAACAATTTTTAAAATGGTAAAAAGTGGAATTATTGTATTATTGTTTTGTTGCTAGATTGTTTGGTATAAATTTGTATGAATAAGATATTTAGTGAGTGGTTTAATTAATTTGGGGTTTGTTAGAATGTGCTTGAGATCAGAAGAGTTAGCATTATTGGATTTAGCAAGTGATACATTTGCCGTTTGAACATTGTGAAAACACATTTGGAGAACCCAGTGATTGATTGAGTAAGCCAGTCAACATTACCATTCTGATCAAAGTATTTCTGTACAAATGTGAAAACCATCTCGTTACTGTATGGGACAGGTTCATTATATATATATATATCAGTGGGTGAGACTAGGTTGTAATCACATTCACGCCTGATTAACTTGTCTGACAACTGGGACGTCTGACTTTAGGACGTCTAACTTTTGGGAGTAAACCGAGCGATAACAAGCAAATGAGGGCTACAAACAGCCATATTACCATACTAATGATACGCATCAACAAGCCTGGCCAGTGACTGCGTGCTCTGAGCATGCGGACCCGTCGACCATTTCGGGGCATGTCATGAACCCGTCAGCATCGACTGAATCGTCTTCGTAGGCTTGGAACATGAGGCGCTGGCAGCGTTGCATTTGGGTACGGTATGTTTGGTGTTTTGGCATTTGGCAAAATTTACATAATTTTGCGCTTGTAGGTCATAATCAAAACACTTTACAAAATATTGTATCGTTGTTTTGGTAATTAATCCCAAAGCACAAGGTGTGTGCTTTCTTGTGCATAGCAGTGTATTAGTTGAATCGCGTCACTGTTGATGATACCTCTGAACTTACCTTTCCGTGTAGTATGAGAAACCACAACCTGGAATCCCGCCCTGCTGGTATGACTGTTGGATTTGAAAACCAGTTTCATGCTCCTTCCGTTTGAATAGTAGGGACCAACCGGAGAAATTGATGAATTTCCACAAAACTTGCCAATAGGATCATTACTTCCATTATTCCCTAGGACCAACAGATTAAGATTCAGATAAGTTGAAGTTATGAGGAACAAAACTATATCCGAGAAATATAGATTATATAATATTGGAGAAACGGACTTAATACAAAACGTTGACATCAGTGTATATTTAATCAATAGCGGTTCTCTGCCGAAATAAGTTCCATGCCGAAGATTTTAAGAATGGATCACTAATAATCAGTGATGACATTAAGTATCAGTAAACATTCAGACACAGAAACAACAAACGTAACAAACGTGAAAGGTTACGCTGTGACCCTTGTAATCAGCCAGCTTTTCCAGTGGATGTAATATATGTGCATACACAGTGACCTACATATTATTATGTATATTAGGGATACATGTGAAAACCAGCCTGCCACATCCCTCATTAGGGTCCGTTTTTGGTCGCTTGTTCAACCAGGTCCCCGTTTCACAAAGCGTTCGTAGCATTACGTTTGTCTTAAGTCTATGTTAAGGTATGGGAGTTACGATAACCTTAGCGCTACGATCGGTTTTTGAAACGGGCCCAGATGTACAATGGACTGGTGTAATATTGTTCAGAATTTATGTGTACAACACATTCTGGTCAACCATGAATAATTGGTTATAATACAATAATGTTAGATTCTACAAACTACATGCATGTAAACAGTTTGTAACGTTAAAATCATGATCACGTACCTCCAAAAAGGGTTACAGAGTCATTGTCGCACTGTGGGTAGTCTCCCTCTATATCTGCATTAACGACATCAAGCTTCAAGTTTGGTGTGTCCATCACGTCGAAGATGAATATGACACATTTCAGGTCACTGAAGCAATATAAATACAACTCAGAAGTAATGAAAGAGTGAAATCACATATACGAATTTAGTGGAAATGCAACGAGTTGAATAATTGTACTATATATGTACGTAGTCTTATACATTACATCATAATTCATATACTATCGTGATATTTTTACATGGGAAAACTGACTGTGCCTCAAAGAAAGATGCCTGAATATTAATATATGCTTTTGAAAATAACAACATACTATTTGGTCATTCTTGTGATTAATGGTTTTTTTCAAAAATCATTGACATGTATTCTAACCCGTTCCCTTTCGATCAAGAAATATATAATGAACCAAATCTGCATGACAGCCATTCCTCTCTGGTAACATCCATGGGAAAGTACACTATCTCGCTTCAACATACCTGCCATAGGAATCAGGGTATCCAGGTGACTGGATATAAACAGGATCGTTACCTATGTTATATGTCCTGTTACAGTCGCTTTCTGTAACAAAGACACCGTGATGTTAACATCATATCTCCTCATTTGAAGACGAAAAAAATGAAACTGATAGAGATGTCAAACTGTATCTGTAATAAAGTTGGTTGAAGAATAAGGCATTGTAGATTTGAAATAAAATGCTTTCGCTGACAGAATACTAGTAGTATAATCGTATGTGGGTTCGAACGCCATATTTCATAAAAGTGTTCGGTTTCTCAGTAACATATCCGTTTTACCAATAGTCTAAGAGCTGGGTACCTTTGAGCTTTTGTCTCCTAAAATATAAGTGGCAATGTTATTATTTGAAAGACTTTTTAACATATAAGCGAATTCATTTCACATTTTTAGGAGGAAAACCGCGCTACCATTACAGTGTATCTAATGAGTAGTTGTGGTAGACTGGATAGGTGAAAAGTGGTTTTACCATCTGGTTCAACGTACCTGGTATTGCTGTATACTGCAACTGTACACCCTCACTGGTCAATTTCTCAAACACTACCGACAGTGTGTAACCTGAGCTGTAGTATGTCCGATCCACAGTTGAACATAATTCCCCAGGAAACTGGCCACCTGCAGTATAATGTGTTGGTTATGTTTATGCATCCAGTGTCTATTTTAAATAATCAAAGTGAAAGAATAACCAGTCTCGATTGTCCGAGGAAATTTTACAAATTTCGCGTAAAAGAGTCAGTTTGGCGTGAAACAGGAATCTAACCAAATGTAATCAGTGTTGAAATGTTTTTGATTAATCGAGTGTGTATCTGATAACTACGTGCTCCTTGACGAAAGCTACAATGGACTCCTATGTACACTTGGTGAAATATATAAAATGTCAGTGTATACCACATAAACCTCACCTTCAGTTGTGTTTCCGTCATAAACACGAACGACATCATGGTTGCACTGAGTTGAAAAATGCCCCAATTTGTCTCCCATTGAGAATATATTGGTCACTTTGACAGTATCATTCTCGTTTTGCGCTGTTATAATCCATGTGCACTTTTGATTACTGAAACAAACGTATACGCCTCATATGTGGGGTGATCAGATAACAAACTCATTATAATAATTGCGTAGCAATGTATTATTGACTGTGATATAGCGGGAATAAAGACTAAGCATAATTAAAAGAAAATGTTGCAAACATGGCCAATCACTGAAGATGTCATCGTTCACAAGATAAGTTTTGCCGTTAACTTTCTTAACCTCTCTTCTTCTTCTACGACCATGTGTGGAAACGTGCTGTAGGCTAGGTTGATTCAAAAGTTATCTGGCCTCTGACCCCCCGACATCTGCCCCCACCCCGATAGCAGTACCTGTCAACCAACTACCGATATGCTAACTCCATTTTGTGATGGGTTGCTTCAGATAACCCCTTGGCTTACACAGCACAAAAAGTCTAGGGAGAGGGCGCTCCCGAATTAATGTGTTTTTCAGCCGCAACTTTCAGTCCACAAAGGACGCAGTTTGGCAAGTAGGCCCCGCCGCCCCGCGCTTTATCAGGTGACCACGGTATTCCGGCCAGTCCCTGCTTCGAAACTACCCCCCACAGACACACGCTGGAAGGCGGTGAAAGAGGGAATAGCCCGGTTGCTCAACTAGTTAAACGTTCAGTACCAATCTCCCTAACTTACCAAAGGTGAGAAAGGACTTAGGAGCAGAACGCTTCGAAAACCATGGAGGTAATCGGAAATCAACACTTCACTGACGTAATTGCTCATAGAGTAGAGGTCAGTAAGCGGAGTGTCGATCATCTCTGCATGTAGCACAAGACTGGCCTCACAATCTATCAAGTCATAACTTATGACAGTGCAGACACGCCCTATTCCCATAGGTGAGAATGATCTAAGCCCATGAGAAAAAAGTACCAAGATATGGATTACATCGATATCTTATATTAGGTACAGAGCAAAACCGACCAAGGAAGGATTGCTTTATCTGCGAACACGGGTTGATGACAACTGCTGCACCATGACGAAAGTTTGGAGTCTGCATATCAGAAATTATAACAAAACAATGTGTTTGACTTACGAAAAGTAGGAGTGGGTCAAATCAAGGGATGTTAAGTTTCCTTCCTCGGATGTTGCCGTTAAGTTCCCGTCACATCCTGCAATGTTCATTGATGTGATTCTTGGATTATGAAGCCAGTGGAATGTTAAAGTTCGTCATTTATAGTAAAGGACATTGACTGACTGACTGAGTTTGGTTTTACGCCGCTTTTAGCAATATTCCAGCAACATCACGGCGGGGGACACCAGAAATGGGCTTCACACAGTTTACCCATCTGGAGATTCGAACCCGGGTCTTCGGCGTGACGAGCCAACGCTTTAACCACAGGACATTGAAACTGTTATGACGGTATATAACTGTATTCGGCTTTTACAGATTTATCATAGAATGCTAGATTATATTTGAGAAGGTATCCAAAAATATTGAAGCGGTGAACCAATATGTCGAAAGCACTCGATGGTTTAAGGCCTCTGTTGTGCATTAGGCTACACCAGAAACACGCTTTTCTCGCTAATATTTCTGTTTGTGGTATACTTACTTTCAACGTCAGTAACGTTCAGCAGAAAACCCATTCCACCAGTTGCAGGGCCGGTAAGCAGGTGTACATCCATGGTGGGTCCATCGCTTATGATACTGCCTATTTTCGGTATACTCCCACAAAGCCGCAGCAGCATTTTACTTGAACTATCTGATCCTTGTCATGAAAAAGCATTGCAATTAGACCAACTCACTCATGTATATTCTCAGCCATCACTATATTTGCATTTGTTCGAGAGAATATACTGTATTAAATCATGTCGTCGAGCAAACACATATAAAAAATACATGTTTAGGATATGGTCTAAAAAGCTTATAAAAACGAAAACAAATCACGAGAGCTTGTTTCTATGCGATAATGTGCATCAAAGTTCCACATTCAAACAGAATGTGTTCGTCATAGTGCACCGTCACGGCAAAATTGCCTTTCTGCGTTCTGCCATCATCGATCATGACAAAAAATATGACAATTGCGACACAATCAAACTATTAGAGGATTGGAGCGTCTGTTCAATGTTCCGACTAATGACTTCTTTCATCATGAACATGCGGGGACATTCTTCAAGGTAGATTAATCTGAGTTTTGTTGTCAACACAGGTGAGCTGAATGGCAATATGTAGTTATAACATCTATTGCTATTTGTGAAATGTCTGTCCTTCTGGAGTTGATGACGTCATACTGATAGCCGAGTGGTTTGGTTGCGCCGAAAACACGAGTTCTATTTTCCACAAAAGTGCAATGTGTGAAGGCCATTTCTGGTGTCATGGTTAGTGGCACTATTGCAATATTGTCAACAGCCGAACAAAACATTTCCCAATCACTCATTCATATCATAAACTTGCACACCACTAAAGCTGTGGTCTTTTGGGGGCTGAACTAAATTTTAAGTGAAGTCAACATATCCGTATTTTGGCAAACACTTTGGGTCTTCTTGACTTTGTCATGAGAAAACTATGGAATAATATGGAATGTATTTAAGATGTTTGCCAAACTCAATCAACCTGATTTAATAGATAACATGAGGTGAGGTGAGGTGAAATTGGGTTTAACGTCGTGCTTGAGAATATTTCGCTCATATGAAGACGTGCATGCGTGTGTATGTGTATGTGCGGCTGCTTGTACTAGCCCAGACTGAAGCTGGTTTTATAGTGCCAGCCCAATGAGATACTATGCCGCAGTGAAGCATGAATACCCCACTCAGACACATTATACTCACTCCGAGCCGACCAGTCCTTGTTGTACCCATTAATGCCGAGCGCCAGGCAGGGACCAACAAGTACCATAATTTAACGTCTTTTGGTAGGACACGGTCGGGGATCGAACCCGCGACCTTCCGCTCTCCGGGCGGACGCTCTAACCAGATAACATGAAAGAATCCGGAATATATGTGCACTGGTCTAATTTCATCCTATACATCCTATATGTATTTGTTAAAAACGTGACCTTGACATACTAATGTCTCTTCTGTGTAGACTTTAATACACGACTAACCTTGTTAGACAAAATGAATACTTTTTGCTTTTTGGTTTCTGGCGACATTGATATTTCTCGAAAACACTAATCATAATATGAGCACATAATCCCTCGTTTCTAGACCTCATATTTTATCAGATCATTACTTTAGTTCCCAAATGGAGCAGTCTCTGTCCTTGTTGCGAACTGCACTACATTTTAGCAGTATTGCAGTATCTTAAGCCCCAGAAAACCCACTGTTAACACATTTGCAAACGGTATGCTTACCATCATAGAAGGACAGAATGCCAGTTCGACAATAAAACGACTTTTCCAAGGATGCATAATAGTTTATGCCCACAAGATGTTCCGGTGACGATGCATGGATCCTCCACACGCAAGATACATGACTGAAACAACAGTAGGAATAATCATCACAACGATCGAAATTAACAGGCATTACGTCCATGTAAAAGTCTGCAAAATGCAATTATGTGAATAAAACAATTCGACGTCCTATCATTATTCATTGCATTATTTCTTACTTATTGGAGTTTCAGTTGGGCTGACGATGGGCCTGGTGGCCTTGTTATAGTATGATTTTACAATTGAATGTAAGTCTTTATTTCTTTTCATAATATACAATGCCTTGCACGAGGTGTGTTTTCAAAGGTAAAGATGAAATGTTTTCCGGTTTACTCACACATTCTTGACTATTTGACTTCATCTGAGTCATATCGCTTTTCCAAGTTCTTTGGGTATAGATCATCCTGGGTTATAAGCAATGCCGAGCAGATGCTCTACACCCGAAACGACAGAGACAGTTCCCTTGCCACCAATATCAATTATGATAGGAAACGTGAGAGAATGAATCTTTTGCGACTTGATTGCATTGTACGCCCTTCGTTATTGAATATCGTGTCTCACCTGCTGTACGACGTCGGGAATCCCGGAGATGTTACCGTTTCCATAACACCTGAAAGATGGATGTCCGTAAAGCAATCATCTGAAAATAAAATAAGATAACACATTTTTAGGTTGGTTCAATAATCCATCCATACCTACTGCACACAGAAGCATGGTTACAACTCGGGTAACTCTGGAATTCGTATCAATGACTGATTGTATCCAAAAGCTAGGTGATGCCACTGGGCACAAAAGGTAACATCGCCTTTCGACCAGTGCCGCTTCTGTCGATGATCTGAGCCCATAGAATGTTTCGGAGACATTTGATAAAGCTAATGAATGTTCTCCCGTGGATTTGTGTCATATGTATGAGGGGAGAAGCACACAGCAGGTAGTGAGGACCTCGGGGTACCTTAGTGATGTCGTATCTCCATTACTGAACTCGCTTTGACTTAAAATGTACACAGCGGATAGAATTGGTCTTCATCAAACCCAGCTAGTCTTAAGAGGCGACTATCGGGATGTGGTGGTCAGACTCGCTCACTTTGTTGACACAGGTCATCGTATCGAAGTTGCGTAGAGCGATGATCATGATGTTTATTACCTGATTTCCTGTCCAGACTAGATTATTTACCGACTGCCATAAAGCTGGAATATTGCTGAGTGCAGCGTTAAACAAAAAGAGACAAAGTGAAATATATAAAATACATGTATCCATAAAACTCTGAGAATTCACAATGGAAAATACGTGTTAATTCCTGTTGTCCGAAATACACTCAGAATAATACAACAAAATACACTACTTGGTTGTATTAAGGATAATAAGGTTCGATAACTATAACAAAGGCTCAATAATCATTACAATAATCATGTTCTCTTACGAACACATTTACGCATTATCAACAGCCTGATCTACCTGTGGCTATCTCGATTTACCTGATTTATTTGTGGAAAGTACTGGAGACAGAATACCCAAGAGCACGACTGCAGTGAATTGTGATACCATTGTATGTTGCCCCAGGTCTGTCCAGTGTACAGTGTTTTTCCTCTTATATAGAGTTGTCCATGGGGCGAAAACTGTGCCTTATCGATTTAACAACCGCTATCAGCCAACTCAAGTTATTTATGAGGGTGTTGTGTTCGTGCGACATGCAAATAGTTATTTCGCAACTTTATTGCCGATGTCGAAACTTTACGAGCAGAAAATCCTCTTAAATCTTTAAAACACACACAGTCGCTCTAGTTTCTATGTATTTAGGTGAACAACTGACGCATGCAGACCAGAGGATAGTCCCTTCTCCTATGGCGACACGTTGTGCAGTGTCACTGATCTTTGCACATGTACACAGTGGACAAAGGGATGCCTGTTCTACTTGAAATCACTTTGGCTGATCAGATGTTATAATACTCTAAAATCAACTTCCCTTATCTAAATTTTCCATACTGAGGATCACTGAAAATGTCGTCTGCTAGCAAGTAAACAAAGGGGATAACTCTTCACAAACTAATGAGATAAGGATTCACGGAGGTGTTTCTCTTGAATGAAACCAACCACTTGATAGCTGGTCAAGGTTGTTTATACTAGAAATCAATTGAACATATTCCTAAAATTCTCAATAATTTCTGGTCATACTATATGTACTTCCTGTATCTAAGTCTTTGTGTATATCTAATACCTTTATCTACCTTTCGAGAGTGTACGTACCAATCTGGAGTGTATGAACTTCATATATATGTCTTTTGGTGTGTGTGTACTTCCTGTACCTACCTTTTGGATGTGCATGTAGTTCCTGTATCTATCTTTTTGGTGTGTATGAACTTCCTGTATCTATCTTTTAGGTGTGTATGTAGTTCTGTATCTACCTTTTGGGTGAGCATGTACTTCCTATATCTACCTTTTAGGTGTGTATGTACTTCCTGTATCTATCTTTTGGGTGTGTATGTACTTCCTATATCTACCTTTTAGGTGTGTATGTCATTCCTGTATCTACCTCTTGGGTGTGTATGTACATCCTGTATCTACCTTTTGGGTGTGTATGTACTTCCTGTATCTACCTCTCTGGTGTGTATGTACTTCCTGTATCTACCTTTTTGGTGTGTATGTACTTCCTGTATCTACCTTTTGGGTGTGTATGTACTTCCTGTATCTATCTTTTGGGTGTGTATGTAGTTCTGTATCTACCTTTTGGGTGAGCATGTACTTCCTATATCTACCTTTTAGGTGTGTATGTCATTCCTGTATCTACCTCTTGCGTGTTTGTACTTCCTGTATCTACCTTTTGGATGTGTATGTACTTCCTGTATGTACCTCTCTCGTGTGTATGTACTTCCTGTATCTACCACTCAGGTGGGTATGCACTTCCTGTATCTACCTCTCTGGTGTGTATGCACTTCCTGTATCTATCACTCAGGTGGGTATGCACTTCCTGTATCTACCTCTCTGGTGTGTATGTACTTCCAGTATCTACCTTTTGGGTGTGTATGCACTTCCTGTATCTACCTCCCTGGTGTGTATGCACATCCTGTATCTACCCCTCTGGTGTGTATATAATTCCTGTATCTACCTTTTGTGTGTGCATGTACTTGCTGCATCTACCTTTTGGGTGTGTATGTACTTCCTGGATCTACCTTTTGGCTGTGTATGTACTTCCTGTATCTACCTTTTGGGTGTGAATGTACTTCCTGTATGTACATTTTGGGTGTGTTTGTACTTCCAGCATCTACCTTTGGGTTTGAATATACTTCCTGTATGAACATTTTGGGTGTGTATGTTCTCCCTGTATCTACCTTGTGGGTGGATATATACCGCCTGTATCTACCTCACTGGTGTGTATGCACTTCCTGTATCTACCTCCCTGGTGTGTATGCACTTCCTGTATCTACCTCCCTGGTGTGTATGCACATCCTGTATCTACCCCTCTGGTGTGTATATAATTCCTGTATCTACCTTTTGTGTGTGCATGTACTTGCTGCATCTACCTTTTGGGTGTGTATGTACTTCCTGTATCTACCTTTTGGGTGTGTATGTACTTCCTGTATCTACCTTTTGGGTGTGTATGTACTTCCTGTATCTACCTTTTGGGTGTGTATGTACTTCCTGTATCTACCTTTTGGGTGTGCATGTACTTCCTGTATCTACCTTTTGAGTGGGTATGTACTTCCTGTATCTATCTTTGGGTGGGTATGTACTTCCTGTATCTGCCTTTTGGGTGTGTATGTACTTCCTATATCTATCTTTTGGGTGTGTATGTAGTTCTGTATCTTCCTTTTGGGTGAGCATGTACTTCCTATATCTACCTTTTAGGTGGGTATGTATTTCCTGTATCTACCTCTTCGGTGTGTATGTCATTCCTGTATCTACTTCTTGTGTGTGTATGTACATCCTGTATCTACCTTTTGGGTGTGAATGTACTTCCTGTATCTATCTCTCTCGTGTGTATGTACTTCCTGTATCTACCAGTCAGGTGGGTATGCACTTCCTGTATCTATCTCTCTGGTGTGTATGCACTTCCTGTATCTACCACTCAGGTGGGTATGCACTTCCTGTATCTACCTCTCTGGTGTGTATGTACTTCCAGTATTTACCTTTTGGGTGTGTATGCACTTACTGTATCTACCTCCCTGGTGTGTATGCACATCCTGTATCTACCCCTCTGGTGTGTATATATATTCCTGTATCTACCTTTTGTGTGTGCATGTACTTCCTGCATCTACCTTTTGGGTGTGTGTATGTACTTCCTGGATCTACCTTTTGGCTGTGTATGTACTTCCTGTATCTACCTTTTGGGTGTGAATGTACTTCCTGTATGTACATTTTGGGTGAGTATGTACTTCCAGTATCTACCTTTGGGTGTGAATATACTTCCTATATGTACATTTTGGGTGTGTATGTTCTTCCTGTAACTACCTTTTGGGTGTGAATGTACTTCCTGTATGTACATTTTGGGTGTGTTTGTACTTCCAGTATCTACCTTTTGGGTTTGAATATACTTCCTGTATGAACATTTTGGGTGTGTATGTTCTTCCTGTATCTACCTTGTGGGTGGATATGTACCGCCTGTATCTACCTCACTGGTGTGTATGCACTTCCTGTATCTACCTCACTGGTGTGTATGCACTTCCTGTATCTACCTCACCGGTGTGTATGTAGTTCCTGTATCTATTTTTGGGGTGTGCATGTACTTCGTGTATCTACCTTTTGAGTGGGTATGTACTTCCTGTATCTATCTTTGGTTGGGTATGTACTTCCAGTATCTACCTTTTGGTGTGAATATACTTCCTGTATGAACATTTTGGGTGTGTATGTTCTTCCTGTATCTACCTTGTGGGTGGATATATCCTGCCTGTATCTACCTCACTGGTGTGTATGCACTTCCTGCATCTACCTCACTGGTGTGTATGCACTTCCTGTATCTACCTCACCGGTGTGAATGTACTTTCTGTATCTATCTTTTGGGTGTGCATGTACTTCCTGTATCTACGTTTTGGGTTTGCATGTACTTCCTGTATCTATCTTTTTGGGTGGATATGTACTTCCTCTATCTACCTTTGGATGGGTATGAACTTCATGTATCTACCTTTTGGGTCTGCATCTACTTCCTGTATCTATCTTTGGGTGGGTATGTACTTCCTGTATCTACCTCTCTGGTGTGTATGCACTTCCTGTATCTACCTCTCCGGTGTGTATGCACTTCCAGTATATACCTTTTGCGTGTGTATGTACTTCCTGTTTCTATATTTTGGGTGTGTATGTACTTCCTGTATCTACCTCACTGGTGTGTATGCACTTCCTGTATCTACCTCTCTGGTGTGTATGCACTACCTGCATCTACATTTTGGTTGTGCATGTACTTCTAGTATCTACCTTTTGAGTGGATATGTACTTCCTGTATCTATCGTTTGGGTGGATATGTAATTCCTGTATCTACCTTTTCGGTGCGTATGTCATTCCTGTATCTACTTCTTGAGTGTGTATGTACATCCTGTATCTACCTTTTGGGTGTGAATGTACTTCCTGTATCTACCTCTCTGGTGTGTATGCACTTCCTGTATCTACCTCTCTGCTGCGTATGTACTTCCAGTATCTACCTTTTGGGTG